CTTAATCCTTAGTAAGAAACTTGGAATCATCATGATTTTCTTTTATACTCGAGATTAAATGCTATCATTATACTGTTATCCCAATACTAAACATCTTTCCAGACATAAAACAGTATCATAATAATAAAAATCTACATTTTTTTAAGTTACTGAAGCTTTAAAATCGTTCTATAATGCGTTATTGAGCCAGTTTATAAAATTTTAAAATATATATAAAAAAGAACTTTTTATTGCTAGTGTTATCGTATAACGGGGGAGTTCAAGTACAATACGATTTATACAATGAAATAGAAATATCGTATCAGACAATAAAATCGGGTCAACGTACTATACAATTTATGAAGGAAAGAATTTTTGTAGAGATCTGAGTTTATAACGAAAAGCTGACAGTGCATAATACTGTACTGTTGAATCTCCTGCATTCTTGTCATACACTTGAAAGCAATTCACGCTGATCTGATGAATTGTAACGTTTTAGTATATATATACATTCAATACTTCTTTATACAAATCCTAACAATTGACTTCTATTAATTTTCACCATAAAAAAAATGATAAAATATATCCAAACGATTCTATATAATCTTTATTTGCGATATTCTTAAACAATAAATCCAAAGGGAACTAAACTTCCTGCTGTTGGTAATTAAAAGTTAACTTGTAATTAAGATATCCATTTTCTGCTCAGATAGAAATTATGTTCACACTGTGAAGAAATTATATTTCCAGCTGTTTTATTTCTTGTTCCATTTAACAGCTTTTCATAACCTGAAGGAAAATATTTCTATTTTTTTCTTATTTTTGTTTTTTTAATTGAAATTTCTGTTAAATTATTGAAAAATAAATTCTTTGATGTATGTATTTGAAGATATATAATGCTTATCAATAGTATAACATTTTAAGATAGAAAAGTGACAGTTTAATTTCCGGCTGTATTTGTTTTGAATGCAGCTGTCCTTTCCTTCAATGATATGATTTATTACTTTTCATTCAAAGATATTTTACATAAAAGTTACTTGATCCTATCGTAATGTGCTTATAAAACTGATAAATATATATAAATATTTAAGAAGATCAAAAGTGAAATTAATATAATTAAATTGCCATTGATGTTTATAAATTCTGAAAGAATAAAAAAAAAAAAGCGAGCAAAATTTATTGTGATTTCATCGCAATCTCGGGTTGCAATTTTTTTTTATCTATTTTTAATTTATTTAATTCAAAATATATGCTCTCCACCTGAAATTATTAGTGTCATGCCCCTGTACATCATACTTTTCCTGACAACAACAGAGTCATGTCAGTCATATATGTAATTCCATTCAGGGTTTCTGAATTGAATTCACACATTATTTTAATGCATTTTATTAATATCTAAAATAATAAATATTTTTTAAAGATAATTAATTATAAAAATAGACGATTTTCTTATAAATATTTTAAATTTACTAGAACTTTTTATTGTCAAATTAAACTTAAAAGAGCTTGTCTATAAATTAATTGAGTAGATATTTTTAATCAATTTTCAATACCTCGAATAAAAGCACACATTTTGTCATATTGTATGACTGATGTAACATTTTATACTTTAACATCCAATCGTTTCGTCAGTAGCTTTATCGATTAACCATTACATCTCGTCAAGCATCGAAATTATATGTGAAAAAAAAAATCAATTTTCTTAGTCTAAAATTTTGAATTATATCAACTATTAAAAGAAATAATAAAAATCATCTGCAAATTCTATTTCCAAATGTGCACCAAATACTCTGAAATAGGATATTTTTGGAAAACAAAATACATTATCAAGTGTATATTTTTAGAACACATCTTTAGAAGAGTATTTCGGAATCCAAAAATACTCATTTTTGGATATTTACAAGTGTGAATTCTAGAAAACAAAATGCATTTTCGAGTATTAAATCTGTAGATCAAAAAATGCTTTTCAATATTTAGATAAGTGAAAAATGATATTTTTTTCACGGATTTTAAACAATAATATAATCATAAAATTATCACACGACTAAATATTTGTTTTTTTTTATCTTTCTAACTCTTGAAAAAAAAAGTCTAAAAATTTCAGAGTATCGATCAAATCTGAGCGAGAGATTTTTAAACTATTTTAGAAATTATTAAACGTTTGACTATTAAAGTGTAAAAGTAATCATCTCTTTTATGGTTTAGTCAATATCTAAATTGTTTCAATGTGTTTAAATTATCTCTTTAATCTCCATCAAGTTTTATCTTCAATTAACAATCCTTCTCTTCGTGTTTCGTAGTAGATATTTAATTCAAATGAGTCGTATTTTATCTTTAAATGTTATCGAACAAACTATTTTGTAAAAGTAGATGCTTCCGTATCAACATATATATTAGTTAGTGAAACAGTTACTTAGTAAGAGTGAAATGAGAATTTGTTACTAATTCTCTGTTCCGTAGTGAAGTGACATTAGTAACTTCATAGTATTGATTATAAAATAATAACTGATTTGTATCTAAAATAGGAATGAATTTATATTTATAAATTTGCATAAATTTATGATAAGAAACTTTGAAATTGGTAAAAGCGAGGAAAAGACATTTTTTTTAAATTGTTTTCTCATATATTTTAGTAAATGCTATGTTTTAACAATAAAATAAACTATTAAATAAGATATTTTTAGAAATAAATAAACATTTTACTTTAAAAAAAATTACATGTTTTATTTTTCGGAAATAAAAACCGCATTTTTTTATTTAAAAAAAAGCTACTTTTAAAAACAAATAAACGTTGTATTTTCAAGTTTACTTGTATAAAAATGTAAAATTTCTTTTTAAAAAAAATATATAAAAACTATTTTATTTTGAATTTTGAATTTTTTAGAAAGACGTTCAAAACTGTTTCCAATAAATAAATATATTAGTGTTTAAATAAACAACAATTTTATAAATTGGGTGTTTATTTTAAAAACATCGATTTATAAAATTGCTGTTTATTTTTTAAATAAACAAGTGAATGATTTATTTGCTAAACGTGTATTTCATAGAAAAATAATTACATTTGTATTAGAATTCAAGAAACTTTTTCAAAAAATTTGAAATGTCTACAGATTTATATTATATTATTAAAAGTCCCCGATTAACTATATTCGAATTTCCGCTTTTGGCCGGAAGTCACGTGATTTCAATTCAAAAATTTTTCCCTGAATGGAGTTACATAGATGACTGTCACGACTCTGTTGTTATCAGGAATAGTATGATGTACAGGGGCAAGACTAATAATTTGAGATGGAGAGCATATATTTTAAATTAAATAAAAAAATTGAATAAATAAATAGTTATAATACGTGATTTATAAACGTATGAAACATAAAAAAATAATATTGACTTTAAAAAAATGGTACGAAAATATAAATATAGTAACTTTCTTGAATATTTTCGATATTTACAGTACATTTTTTACGTATCTTAAACAATTGTACGGTTAAATAAGAATGTTTTTAAAATAATTCTACTTAGTTTTAAGCTTATAAAATACGTTTTTATGAACTTACAAAATATAATTCTGCTCATTTTTAAGTTTTAGCATGAAGCTTAAAGTTTTTATCTACTAATCTCTTAACAGAGATAATTAATTTTATTAAAAAATCAGTTTAAAATATCTCTCTACTCATGAGTTTTAATTAAATCAGTATTTTAGTATTTTTTACAATTTATAAACTTAATAAAGCAATTTTATTAAAATGTTGACAAAATTAAAATATATTAATTTTGACAGATAATTCGAAAGAAAAAACATTATATCTTAAGTAGTAATAATAGAAAACAATTCTTATTGAATTTTTATGTAATAAAATTTCGTAATTCTTTCAATCTTTTGATGTTTCTATTTCCCAAATCTTTTGCTTTGAATGATACTGAACAATTTGCAATATCATTCAACTGCCAGCTGCGAAATTCTCTGAAGAATTCTCTATTTTAGTGATACAGTACATGGCTTTTCTATGTATCTTTCTTATAAAAATATGAAAAAAAAATACATATAACATTCTATATTTTTTCTTTATAATTAATATAATTTTAAAATATTTAAGTACAAAAAGAAGACTTTCTTAAAATGTACTTTTAATACTTTAAAAAATTTATATAAATGATGAAAATTGGCTTTAAAATTTATTATTTTATCAATATTTTAGACGTTTTAAAAACATTAAAATAAGCGAAGTATTGATAGAAAGTAATAAATTATTTACATTTTACTTTTTTATGGATTTATTTCACTTAGAAATATTATCATTTTTCTTTTGTAAGTTATAAAGAAAAATCATTTAAGACGTGCCTTTCAAAATAAAATGTTTTCTTTACTAAAATAACTTGTATCTAAGAGAGATAAATAAAACTTTATGTAAGTGAATGTATTTTAAGAAGAATATAATGCACAGGTTATCTCTAATAACAAACACTATTTAGATATATATTTTGTCTGTTATCTCCGTTATAGAAGAAAAGAAAAAATGAAATAAATATTTTTGGAACGAAAAAAAAATAGAATTAAATGGAAGTAAAATTTATAATAAATGACAATAATTTTTTATTGAAATTTTGAATAGAACAAGATGTTTATTAAATACATTTTCGTAAATTGTTTTTTTATATTTTTAAGAGGAGCATTTAAATAATTTTATAAACATTATTTTAGGAATTTTTAAATAGATATTAATAAAATTTTTGAATTTGTTCATATATGTAATTTGCTTTCCTAAACATTTTCAAATTTGTTTTTACTTATTTTTTTTCTAAAAATAAAAAATAACAATTTCTAAAAATAAAAGAATATAATTTTTTTTTAAATTGTTATTTTAATTTTTTAATAAAATAATTTAATGAAAACTATGATAAAATTTTCATAATTTGTATTTCTATTAATTTATATATAAGCATAAAATAACATTTAAAGTAATTAATAATTCGTGTATTTCATAATAAAATGCAATTTCTTTTTTTTATATTATTTCTTTCAGTTGCTGTAGTAATTTCTTTTTTCATCTGTTGGTCACCATTTCATGCCCAACGTCTTCTGGCAATTTATGTCACAAATCCAACTCCACTTGCAGTGACAACATACACCATCCTCACATATATTTCTGGTGTGACCTATTATCTGAGTTCTACCATCAATCCTATTCTATATCAATTGCTGTCACTGAAATTCCGCCAAGCCTTCAAAGATACTTTTGGATCGTGCTGCTTTTCTGAAAAAAACAGTAATATACCCGAATTGACGTATACAAGCACTTGTGGAAATCATATTGATTGTTCTGTTAAATCGAGCAGACATCGTCTCAGTTCCAGTTTCCAACAACTACCATCATTTTCGACTCATATTCAATCGTCGAATCTTCAGAATGAAAAGAAAAACTTGTCAGCATCTTGTGCCAATGTTTGTATCCAGGAGAATGTACCCGAAAAAGTGTCTCTTTTAGGAACTCATCTTACAGTTTCGAATGTGTAAAATCAACTCAGGACTATTTTCTGGCCTTTCTTCAATGTGTCTCTTCTATATTTACATTTCGTTAGTATTTCTATTTTAAGAAAATTGTAATAAAATTTAGGAAAAAAAAAGTATAATGTATTCAAGTTATATATGTGAAGTTCCGATCGTACCACAGAATATACCACTTATTAAAATTTGTTCTATTGAAAAATCTTGAAAAAATATCAGTATAATTTGTTAAAAATTAACTGAAAAATAGTTCAATTTCGTGTTTTAGAATCTTAAAAATAGATATCCTATAGGTTTACCTAATTTATTTTATATATATATAAATATCTAAAGACTATTTTTTCTTACCATCACCCAATATGCCCAACAGGGATTTAATCAAGGTATCTATAAAAAAATATATATATATCATTTATTAATATTTAATTTAATATTTTATATTTAAAAGATTTTTAAAATAATTATAGAAACTGGATGAATATTTACCAGAAAACTGCACCAATTATTACTAATATTGGCTGTGATATCCCATTGTTTTCTCTGTATATCATGATTCCTTCAAACTGTGCTCATTGATATCCATTTGCACTACTCCTTTTTTTTATAAGGGAGAATACATCATTTACACATTATAAAAATAGAAAATAATAAATAATAAAAAATTCCGATCGACGAGAAATAATTTCGTCGATATCTGGTGGGCACCTACACATGGAAAGTACAACTGTAACGTCAGCAGTGACGCCTTTCCTGGATGTCTTCTACCTTGTTGTTGTCATATAATAAATGCTGCAATTATACATGTCATTAATTGTTGTGATTTGTTATTCCTTGCTTAATGTTCTGTTGCCATGTATCATGAAATGAATAAATGTTCTTTATTACATATCAAAAAGTATCTTTTCTAAGTTTGAAGTAAGTATTAGCATTAAAAAAAATTAATGTTTAACAACATTAAAACATGTTTTTTTTTAAATGTTAACAAATAATTCAAATTTAATGAAGAAGTAAATTATGTTTATTAATCTTCAAAGATGCACTGAATTGAACTTGCGATATTAAATTTTCCTCATCATCATCGAGATGGTGATGATGATCATTTTTAAAAGTATACTTTAATATACAATTTTAACATTGAAACTAATAGTTTTCTAAATGTTTAAATATTAAATAAAATCCATAAAGTGTTTTATAAATATAATTATACGAGTCCATGAATTATAATGAATTAAGTTTAACAAGGACAAAAACACGTTCCAAAATGTAAAAATATATTTTTTAATGATGGAAAAAAATGTTAATTAATGACCAAAAATAATTTAGAAAATCATTAAAATGTGATAAATTCTCCAATTATCGAGGGATAATATTAAAAATTATTACGTGTAAATAATGAAAATCCATTCTTAACAATTCATTTAATCCTAAATTATTGTCAGGAAACTTTTAAAATAACAATTTAAGACTTTTTAAATTAATTTTTAAAAATTAATATGTCACTTTATTTACTTTATTAAATTAGAATATTAAAACTAATTGTAAAAAAGCATTAAATTGCATATAAAAAATACAAATTCATTTACAAAATAATTAATATTACTGAATGAATTCATATATTTTAGTTATCATATCACATATCTTATGTTTGAGGTGTCATAAAAGAACAAAAGAAAAACATAGAATTGTTTCTGCAACATCTGCTGCATAGAAAGAAACAAGAACAACTAATGTTAATTCATCACGTTCACTTTGGCAAAAGGATCTTGTTAAAATTTGCTTTGCAAATTCTTCAACTAAAATTCTTTATATTAAATGCCACAAACACATAATTTACTAGTTTTACTTACTTCAAGAATTTATTTATAATGTCATATATTCACTAGCAGTTGTATAAATAAATTTTAAAGAATATAAATTGATTTATTCTTACTTACAAGAGGAAAAAAAAATGCGAATTTTTCATTTCTTTGTAAAAAGTTTTCCTACATATTTCATTTAATTATAATACGATATAATTAATTATAATATTATGAATCTTTTCGTTAAATATTTACATGTTATTCTGATATAATTTATCATCGAATTGTGAGTATTATCTTGCTACGTGTGTTGTGATACAAATTTCCATATATATAAATCTATATTAAGTTAGAAATATATAAGGACAACCTACCAACAACGGCCATTTTTTACGTGGTCGTTATTCACAGGTTTGATTGTGTATGAATTCGATATAAATTTTCACGGTATTATTACAAAAATAATTGAATAAAGCATAAAAATATACTTACTTTTAATTGTTATTATAAAATTTATAATGCTGATATGTTGCTTTTATATAAATTACTTCCAGAAAGATTAATTTTGTGAATAAATGTCAATAAAATAGAAATGAAATCAAGATGCCGAAATAAGATACAGTGTAATTTAATGAAAAACTATTAGGATGGAATATATTTAGATTTATAATGGATTTCGGAATACATAAATTCTAGTTAGTGTCGGAAATGTGTGTTAAATTGCTAGAAAATTATATAAACTTTTTAGATTTAAATAACATTTACATTTATATTCTCGCATTTCCATCTTTTAATTGTAATAAATCAAACTTTAAGATGATAAAATTAATCTATTAGAATTTAAAATAAATGCTTAAAACAGAAAGTAAGAAAAAAAAATCATATTAACACGAAAATTTATGTTCAAGTTCCTTAAATAAATCAATTAAAATGAATTTTATGCATAGATATTTTAACGTAAAATTTATATATTAGAAATGAATTTATATATTTTTAAATGCACCTATTTATATATTATATACTAATAAAACTGTTCTTGATTATAAAAAATTAAATAGAAGAATCTTAGTATCACAGTTTGATTGATACTAAAGAGTAAGATTTTTATATATCTTCTAGAAATAACAATTAATCCAATGAATGTAATTAATTTGATCAGGAAATGGTTTTCGCTTATGGGTCTTAGTGGTGCCATTTAAAGTCCACACACAACATTGAACAAGTTTCCTGAACAAGAAGACTTTCTAAAATCTTCCTTAATGTTTCCGCTTTGAAGTAAAACAATTTTAATATATTATATCAATAAGTGGAAAGGAGAATTTAATTTCTTTCTTTAAATGTCTGTATTTTTTAAAAAAAGGTACGTATTAAAGAATTTATATCATTTCACAGTTTCAGTTTCTTAACTGTGAAGAGCTCATCAACTATATTCTTATATAATATAAAAATTTTCAAAGAATATCAAGTAAACAAAAGGTTGAGAAGCGCTGTTCTGCATCAAAATAGATTGTTGTTCATAAAAATGACAATGAGATCGATAAATATAATTCTGATAACTTAATCACTTCCTTCTGAAGAAGAGAACAAGCTAGAAAATAAGAAATGAATATAAACACTCGTATTAATTGTTATTTATTTTAATTTAATTCGCTTCGTTTGTTGTAGTTTTTATTATTTATTTATTTAATAAACAATATCTTAATATAATTATTAACGACGTTATTTATGTGAAGATTTTTAAAAAGATTCATTATACTTTTAATAAATGATATACTGTACAGTACATCCCTATAACTTACAGCTTAAGTACATTTGTAATACTCAAGATAATACTTCTTTAATTAACACAAAAATCACTAATGAGATAATATACGAGTGTTTTGTAAGAAAGTGTTTCTGGAACAATACCTTCCTTAACGGCATTGCAGACTTTCTACGTAACAAATCTCCTTTGAGATTTTCCTCTTAGTCAATAATAGAAGATCTGAAGAATATTATCTTCTATTGTATTTGTAAAATAATTATTCTTGTCTAAAAATAATTAATAATAATAATAATAGTTTATGCGAACATTTTCATTGACGTTGTTTTTAGTATATATTTATTAAATAAAGGCAACGATTTTGAAGATAATACTGAATACTTTTATCATTAATACTGGAGATGTATATTAAATTTCAATTTTGAAATTATTTTTATTAATTCTATAAAAGTATAATGATATTAATTAATAATTACGATTACAGTACTAACGATAAACCAACTGAGTAATTACTATTTAATAATTGCTAAGTTGATTTATCATTAGTAATACTTAGTAATTATTAATTATTTTGGGATTATTAATTAATAAAAGTTATTAATTGTTTAGTTATAATCTCTAATTTATTTTTATCGTTAGTACTAATCAGTACCAATTACTATATCCGAAATAAGTATTAATATCACAGCACTATTAATATAATAACAATATTTAATTAACACTACATAACTTTGTTGTTCGTACTTTATAATTTCAATAATAAAACAATTATTTATTATGACAATTTCTAATTGCATGTCTTCAATTTGAAACCGGAAGTTCGTATATAGTTATAGTATAAAACCATTAATTTCTAAGAAAATATATTAAATATATATTTATATTATTATNATTCTACTTAGTTTTAAGCTTATAAAATACGTTTTTATGAACTTACAAAATATAATTCTGCTCATTTTTAAGTTTTAGCATGAAGCTTAAAGTTTTTATCTACTAATCTCTTAACAGAGATAATTAATTTTATTAAAAAATCAGTTTAAAATATCTCTCTACTCATGAGTTTTAATTAAATCAGTATTTTAGTATTTTTTACAATTTATAAACTTAATAAAGCAATTTTATTAAAATGTTGACAAAATTAAAATATATTAATTTTGACAGATAATTCGAAAGAAAAAGCATTATATCTTAAGTAGTAATAATAGAAAACAATTCTTCTTGAATTTTTATGTAATAAAATTTCGTAATTCTTTCAATCTTTTGATGTTTCTATTTCCCAAATCTTTTGCTTTGAATGATACTGAACAATTTGCAATATCATTCAACTGCCAGCTGCGAAATTCTCTGAAGAATTCTCTATTTTAGTGATACAGTACATGGCTTTTCTATGTATCTTTCTTATAAAAATATGAAAAAAAATACATATAACATTCTATATTTTTTTCTTTATAATTAATATAATTTTAAAATAATTAATAACACTTCGCTAGTTTGATCATATAACGTTGGATAGAGTTTACATAGTCG